TTATTCGGAGATATAAAAAAAATATAATTAATACAATTTTTGCAAATTTTTTTTCAGAAGAACAATACAAAACATTTAAAATTTGAATTTTATACAAAAAAATATAAAAATCTTGTTCATATTATTCGATATAACATTTCTGAAAAATATATAAATCCGAAAATGTAAATAATATTTTATATATATATATATATATATATATATATATATATATATATATATATATTCAAGTTTTTTATCAAAGATTTTATTTAATGGTTTATTTTTAAAATGTCCATATATATTTATATGTTTTTTTATAAAAAAATTAAAGTGAAGTTCAAATGCACTGAAACCAAAAAAAATCTTTATAGTTTAGCAAAATGGTTTTGTCTATATTTATAAAATTATAATAAATAAATTATCGAATATATTATAATATAAATATCGAGCCATCTTTTCAAAAAACATTTTAATAAAAATGAAATTTTTGATTTTATATAATTTTTTCTCAATTGAATATATATATTTATATATATAAAATATATATATATATATATATATATATATATAAATTTAATTATATATATATACAATGTTTTGACATATTTGACTCACTCTACACCTTTCTGACCATAGCTCAATTAGATCTCATTTAAATATTCATGGAGACCTACCGGACACTATTCGTAATATACTTGTTGACAACACTAATATAATAGCATCATCTACATGCAAAAAAAGGCTAAAAATAATGAAAAGTATATTAATAAAAAAAAAAAAAAAAAACACTTAATAATATTAACTTTGAACATGGACACAATATCTTGACCGTGTTTTGAAAAAAAATGAAAACATTTTATAAAACATACATGCAACAAACTATTTTAACAGTTAAAATATAAATGTATAGCCGAAAGCGCTCGGATAAAAAGAACATTCGGATAGTTTTAATATAATTTATCATCTGAAAAGAAGAAAATTATTAGATCGCATGAAAAATTGTATAAAAAAGTAAATAAGAGATTGTCTGTTGTATTCAATGAAATGTGCATGAAAGAAGGATTGCTGCCTAAATACACAAATATATATATATATATATATATATATATATATATATATATATATGTGTAATTTTAAAAATTTCTTTTATCCTGGAAATTAAATTCCTAATAAATGTTGTCCTCAAAATATAAAAATTTAAATTTTTAACTTGTAAAAATTAAGATCACATGATTTTTCAACGAATGAAATATATAACAGAAATCATAAATAAAACTAAAAAAATATGAAATTAAAAAATGAAATCAAAAGAATTAATAAATTTATATCCTGAATAAATTTTTAAATTAATTCCCAAATGATATTAGTTTTGATAATTCTTTTATTTTAGAACCCAAAATGATGGTTTAAGTTTTTGATCGTTTCTATAAGATTGATTTTAATTGAGAAAAAAAAAAATAAAAAAAAGCAAATTTGTTGACATTTATATCTAGTTGTCATAAAGGTCAAAAATAGATAATCCAGGGAAAGAAATTAAGAATATATACAAAAAAGCAGATTAATCCAGGAAAATGCATATAAAGAAAATTGTTTTTAATCTCGGAATTGGATATTCTACATGTTTGAAAAAGAAATTCTAATTGCCAGATATAAATTTGTATGATTATTAATCCCGGATTTGATCTCTAAACTAATTATATTTTCCCGGATTTATATTGCGTATATATATAACATTTCGAGTGGGAATTACGTATACACAATGGTATTAATCCCGGAATTTGTGTATATAATATGATATATTAATCCCGGAATTCTTATATTTATATATTGATTCATACTGTTCTCATTTTTTAAAATATCAAATATTAATTATCATAATCCCAATAACATTGCGCATATATATGTTGATATTAATCCCTTTTGTTGATTATTCACCCCTGATCATTGAATATGGAAGTTGCGCATAAACATTTGTCATCCCAAATTTCACAATTCTATGTGTTCTTACTATATGCAAGAAAATATAAATTAATCCAAATTGCGCATACACAGTTGACAAGATAATCCCGATAAGTTATATATACATTTTGAGATTAATCTTTTAGTTGCTCATACAATTTTGATGATTAATCCATATCTGCGCATTTTAATCAGAGATTAAAAAATTTGTTGCGTATGAGATGTTTTCTTGGATAGATTGATAAAAGTAAATTAATTAAGATATATATATATATATATATATCTATATATAATTGTATAGTAGGAAGTCAGTTTAAAAATATTCTGTCAAAGTTAGAAAAATAATCAATATTATGTTTTATTTTCTAAGGATTTTTTTTTTTAAATTGTTTATCCATGATTTTTAAAACAACAAATATGAAACAAAAAGAATTAGTATATATATTTTTTGGAAATTGGTCAGACCGAATTCCTTTTAAATTATGTAAAAAAAAATGAAAAATAAAATACCGTATTTTTTATTACTCTTTGCTTTTCTTCATTTATATAAGATTCGTTTTTTGCGCAAATACGATTTTTGATTTGTGTTGCCATAATTATTACAACATTTCGGCCTTTTTCTTCAATAATTATAACATATTGGAATGTCGTACTTAACAAATTATTTCGCTCGCCTTCCATATTTGAAATTCTAATTCAATTGCCATTCCTCTTTTTTTCAGTTATTTCTGTTAATTTAAAATTGAAAATTCCCGCAAATTTTTTTTTGAAAAGAAAATTCTTTTGGTCTTGTCACTGGATTTTAACGCCTTTATTCAAGAGTGATTAAACAAATATAATTATTTGGCGATAAATAAATTAAAATATATATATATTAGTTATATATAATGTAAATAGTGAAACCCGATGGCTAAAAATTTATAATCGTAATTTGATTATAGCTCTTCGTAATAATATCAAAAAATAAGTAAAATATTTCTCAAAGTCCTCATTGGAAACAGCAAAAAATTTTTCTTCAAACAAAATTTTTTTTCTAAAATCTGACTGCATATCAAAACAAAGAAAGTCATTTTTACATGTTATATGATCCATAAATGATGAAAGGTAAATTCATGCTATTTCTTTTTAAGGGCATCATTGCAAAATGAAAACTTGAAAACAGAATCGACTGTAATTTGAACAAACAAACAAAAATTATTTTTCGTTAAAAAAAGCAGCTCTCAAGATCCTCTTCTCTTTTTCCTTTGTTTCTCTTCTTTCTCGAAGTTTCTTTGATCTTTTAATCGATGTTTTCTATAATCTATTTGTATTCCTTACAATATCCTAGAGGCTGTTTCTCAAAAAGAATCAATTAAATAAGCCATTAAAATATAAAATTAAATTGTTTCGTTTAAAAATACGCTTATATATAATGTATATATAAAAATCATATTTCGCATTAAATACTCGTAAACATGGCTAATTACAGAATTCTTAGGTTTTAAAAATCAGAAGAAAAATATGTTATCAGATCCCTTGTTATGTTTCAAATCAACAGTTGAGTTTAAAAAAATGCCAATTCGTAAAATTTAAACCGATCCAAATTTGATTTTTAGTTTGTGATAATTTTAAAGATTGGAATGAGTTAATTTGGTGAAAAAAAAATCAATCTCAGTTTTGAAAAAATGAGTCTAACAATAAAGAATTGAAAAAAAATGGGGGCAAAAATTTTGGTAGGTCTTTTCTGTTGAATGTTTGTAAAAATCTTCGATAAACTTTTTTGAATTTTTTTTCATTTGATGAGCAAATAGATTAAAATTATTTTGGAGTTTTTTTTTTCTCCCATTTTCTCAAATTCCTGAATGCAAATCAGCCTTTTTTCATTTTCAATTTTTGGTACAAAAACACTCACAAAGATTTACACATATTCATTCATATACTCACATACACATATACAATATATTTACAAACAAATGGAAAAAAACGTACATTTTTTTTTTAAATATTCAGAGATACACTTGACGAAAATTGACGCACACACAACAAACAATTTAAAATTTTGACGCACAAAGAAAATGATTAACACAGACACATATATAGAGACACACTCCACAAACATAGACACACATTTCTTAAGGACAAAGACCCACGCACTTTTTTTTAATACAAAAATACATACACAGATTTAGTATCATTTTCAAATACACTATAAAAATAGACATTCTTATTTACACACACACATACACACACACACACATACATACTTATATATCTATATATTACACCTTTATAATAGACATACACAGACACATATACAGAGACACACACACAGACATAGAAAAACAACCACAAACAGACCCAAATTTATACAGCCACATAAAAAACACACATACACACAGACACATATTCAGAAATAACTCACAAGCATAGACACACATACACACACACAGACCCACTTTAACAGACACGCAAAAAGAAAAATGAACAAACACATATTTTTGAGATATAGCACTCTTTATAACCATGATATCACAAAAATTGACACATACACAGACACATATTCAGAGATACAAACATTGTTTTAGACACACACACAACATAGAAACACATACATTGTTGTCGATGGTGATCACTCTCTCTCAGTCAGTTGAATATTTATACTTTACAGTAATTTCAGATTTTAGAAGATTTTAGATTGTACTGACGATAACGCAATCAAGGTTTATGACATATATGCCTGATACAAATGAAATTGAATGCTGGAGTTATTTTAATAATATGGATGTGAAAAAAGAGACTGAAGCCATTAAAAAGAAATTCAAAAAAATTTCAGGTGACATTTAAGATTAAAATTTGATAAAGATGTGGCAGTCATTATATATGTATGGATTTATACATCGGGACAGAACCTTACCTGGCGTGGTGTCCAGGCACACGGTTAAGCAACAGCTTTTGATGGATCCCACACCTTTCATAAGGTATCCGTCTTAGGGGAAGGAAAACTGTGATATTACATACGTCTCAGAGCTGATCCGGAAATCTGGCTATTGATTTACTCTGGGATCATCAGCATTGTTCTTATGAGGATTAACGGTGTTGTGCAAGCCGTACACGACTATAACCTCAACACAGGCCAGATTAACATTTTAAAATTTATTGCTGGATGTGCTGATGATGCAATATTTAAACGAATGAGGTGAAATTAAAAAATCGAGGAACCGAATTCATTCGTTCCCCGTTTTAATTAAAATGTATGAATTCGTTTTTTAACCCTTTTGCTGTAACAAATATCAATCAGACATGGGCATTGTGTCGCATCATTTGCGTTTTTTGAATAATACAAAAAGTACAGGAGTCTGGCCAACTCTGAATTCAAAGCCGTGATCTTAGATTTAAATTGTCAGCAATTGTCATACTCGTCAAAAGCCATCATGTATTTGTGTATGGTGATGACGAATCTTCCTCTTAATGTCATTCAGAAAATAATGCTTCCTCAGAAACTCAGAGTATTACGATACAGGAAGATTTCGTTAGCAACAAATAAAAGAATACTGAGCGGTCACGTAACATCTGTCTTTCATTACGGAAAATCAATGTTGGACGATTTCCTCAAAGATGAGGAAGAGACTCGAAAGGCGACGGAATGGTTCTTCAAAGGATGCTGAAAGATATCAAAAATTGAACAATCCAGCAACGATCAGATGTTAGAAACGATGCAAACAAGGAGGAATTTTTAGGATAAATTACATTAACAACAGTAAGAAACAGCTGAAGTTTCTGGGACACGTTATGAAGAAGGAGGGCCTGGAGAATCTGATACTCATTTCAACGAATAGATCTGGTTGAAAACAAGGGAAAACAACGCATGATCAAATTAAGCGGTACTAAGTGGATGACATGACGTGGCCTGGGTGTTGGTTCCAAGGATAGATATAGGATATATATATATATATATCGCCTATATATGACGACATATATATATATATATATATATATATATATATGTGTGTGTGTGTGTGTGTGTGTGTGTGTGTGTGTGTGTGAAAAGTGTATATAAATATAAATAAATATATATATGTATGATTATTTATATATTATATGCGCGGTACTTATTAGAAAGCGCTCATTATCAGAGATAGAGCTAACATATTTGGTTGGATAGATGTGAGTTTGGGACCCTGGGTTTCACGCTTTAGCGATCGTCAGACAAAACTATCTAAAATGTCTAGACAATCAAGAAATCATCATCAATATAATATATATATATATATATATATATATATATATATATATATATATATATATATATTTAAGCCACGTGGAAATGGATAGAGGTTCAGATTGAGGAATCGGGTGTCAATCTAATACATTCAAACGTTGCTAATACCCTGGGAAGGCATGAATCCTCTGTGCTCCCCCATCTATCTATCTATCTATCTATCTATCTATTTATAGATCTATCTTCTATCGGATCTATCTATCTAACTCTATCTATCTATCTATCTATCTATCTATCTATCTATCTATCTCTCTCTGTTCATTATCTATCTATCTATCTATCTATCTATCTATCTATCTATCTACCTCTCGATGTATCCTAGCTATAAACTTGATAAATGATCATCTCAATTCATCCCAATGATTCAAATTCAAATTTGCCCAATGGAAGAGCTTTTGCCTAGTGACAGTTATGTGTCGTGTTCGTGTAGAGATCAGTTTATTCGAATGTCCATCAAATTCCAAACATAGTCTAACCTTTGTTGTTCGTCCAAATGGATGTAATTTGATCTAACCCACCATCAACTCCCGCCAACACCCTTATCAAAGTACATGACATAACTCCCGATAGTTTAAATGCCTGGGCCGGTCAGCAGTAAAACCTAAAATCGAAACTTAGACGGACAAAAAGACTTTAATGTCAAATATACTGCCAAAGATGTAAGTTAACTTTCTGATTTTATCTAGCGTTTATTTATTTGCTATCATTGTTTGTTTGTTTATCTTGTTCTTAATTTCGATTAATTCCTCCTTCCGTTCTTTCTTCAATTTTTCTCACTTCGTTACGTCTTCATTCATTTTTTTTTCTTTACTTGTTATTCTTTTCATTCACCCTTTGACGTTCCGATTTGAATGTTACTTTCTCGTTCTTTTTTCGTTCGGAATTTTTATCTATGGTACCAGCAATGGTTAGAATACGATTTGCAATTTGGTGACACTAACATCAAGCAGGCGTGGAAGTTTAAATATCTGGGAAGTTTTTTTTGAAGGACGAGTAAGTTTATTACGCTGAGACCCTCAGACGTATTGGGATGGCCCCAGGACGCAAAAATGAACTATTACGAATTTGACAGGAGGATTTCGTTGGTAACAAATCCCTCAAAAAAGAATAAACTGCTACTACGTTATACAGGTCGGGGACGCTAAAATCAAGCAGATGTGGAAGTTTAAATATTTGGGAAGTGTTTTGACAGAGGAAGTTAAGAGCGACGCTGCGATCCGAAGACGTATTGAGATGTCCAAAGACACATTCCAAAAGATAGGCAGAGTATTACGAGACAGGAGGATTTCTTTAGTAACAAAGAAAAGAGTACTAAGCAGCTATATGACATCTGTTCCCCATTTAAGGCGGCGAATGTTGGACGGTCTCCTCAAAGAGGAAGAAGAGCCTCGAGTCAATGGGGGCATGGATCTACAGAAGGATGCTGAGGATATCATGTACCGAGCGTGTGAGCAACGATGAGGCTTTGGAGAGGATGCAAACAAGGAGAAAGCTTATACTTAACATCAGGAAGTGGAAGCTGAAATTTTGGGACACGTAATGAGAAAGGAGAGATTGGAGAATCTGATACTCACAGGTCGAATAGAAAGAAAGAGACAAGGGAAAGCAACGCATGACATACCTGGCGGATTTAAGCAAGTGGATGACAGAACGTGGTCTGGGAGAGGTGACTTAGGGACGAAACTTATTGAGAGCTACAACTGATGGGAAGAGGTGGAGAGCCATAATCGCCTACGTCCTGAAGGGACACAGCACATAATGAAGAAGAATAGTGAAAATAAGTTTCAATATTCATTCACCGAACAGTTAAAAAAAAAATTCCCATTTTTTTCAGGAAATAAGGTTCCACAAGTCAACTGTTAAAGATTTTTCTAATACTGAAGAATATTTCCTTTCTAACGTTTTGTTTGATGTATTCTGAAAAGTGAACATGGTGATTATATTGTTATACTCACTTCCGGTTTCATGGGCTATCCATTTTAATTGTCCTTCCTGCTGGAGGAGATGAGTTTGTTGGGAAAGATATTCATGATTTTGTTGAAGATCTCATAGAGGACTCTCTTCTTTAAAGCATACAGGGTTTATTTGTTTCAAGCCATTTTAATCGTCAATATGAGAAATCGGTTGTATTTCACAGTTTAGGCATTTCTGAACGAGTTCGACTCTGTTCGCGATATCCCGAATAAAGTCGCGGATATTTTAGAACATGATTCGAGTTCTTAAGGTAATATTTAATTTTGTAGCACATTGCTATGTTACCTGAAACTAACTCTCGCATAGTCTATTCGGCTTGGTTTGGTTTGGCTTGTTTTACGGTATATCAACCTCAATGGATTATTTAATGCCGACAAGATCTTTTTTTTTTGCTTGTAAATATTTTTGTTTTAAAATATATTGTTTGGTAATATTTTTCCTTCAAAAATGTAAATATTATTTTCTTTTTTTTACAAATTAAAATTTAACCCAATGCTGGGGACGGAAATGGATCCACACATTACCGAAGGGTATTTGCTGGTAAATGGAGGGAAAGAGTAGTCATCGTGAAAGTGTTTTGGTTTGGTTTAGTTTGGTTTGTTTTACGGCATATCAACCTCAATAGGTTATTTAATATTATTAAGTGTTGTTTTTTTTTGTTTTTATTAATAGGGCTTCCATTATAATAATAATATTAACTTTGAACACGGTCATAATATCTTGACCGTGTTTTGAAACAAAAAAAATATGAAAACATTTTATAAAACATACATACAACAAACTATTTCATATTTTAACAGTTAAAATTTTATCATTTTAAAATGGCAAGAAATGTAAAATTGAAAAACTCGGATAAAAGCGCATTGAAGACGTCCCTTTATATAATTTATCATCCGAAAAGAAAAAAAAATTGTTAGATCGCATGAAAAATTGTATTAAAAAAAACTAAAAAAATTTTGGATTCACTTGTCTGTCGTTTTCAATGAAAATGTCGTTTATCAAAGATATTATTTATATATATATATATATATATATATATATATATATATATATATATATATATATATATATATATATTCCAAAGAACATCATCCAAAAATCTTTAAATATACAAATAGAAAAAAATGCCATAAGAATTTTTACCGTTAACAATAATTTTTTTTTAAAAATCCAGACGACATGCATTTCAGGGATGTCAGATTTCATTGAAAAATACCTCCCTACCCCCCTACCAAAACTGATACATCAAAATACAGCGATAATGAACACGCAAACACCCCTTGTCTGGTTGAAGTGGATTTCTCTGTATCCTTGGAAACGTGAATTATGATTTTTGCTGTGCCTTTAAAACCCAGTAATTTTAAAAGTTACTCCAAAATTCGCTCGAGGATGAAATGGAACTAATGTCTTTAATTTAATTAGAAAATTAAATTCATATTTTTATCCATTTTTGAAACATGGTTAGAACTGTGTATTGAAAAAAATATATTTTAAACCTATTAATTTATAATAATAATGCTCTATAAATTTACATTGATAACTAATTTTGTAAAAATAAAAAATATCTATAAGAACACCGGATTATATATCTTACTGTTCTTTTTTTTTTTTTAAATTTGATCACACACACACACACACATTTATTAACACAAACACATATATATATATATATATATATATATATATATATATTTATATCAATTTATTAAGATTGTAGAGATGGAGAAAATATTTCTAATAAAATTCAAGACAATTTTTAGAATTCATAATTGCTTCCTGCTTTCTGTAATATTGTGGACTTTATAAATTTAATATATCGAAAAAAAATATTTTTTCGTTCTTTATAAAAAAAATATATAACGCATTTAGGTTATATTTTTCCTATTGTAACGATTTTTATTCATATATATATATATATATATATATATATATATATATATATACTAAATATATATACCTTATATAATGAATATATATAATCATATATCTCCATAATATCTCGATAAAGTTGAAAATTTTCCCATTGCTTCCCCTACAGTTTTGAATTGACAGTGTTCTTTTTCCTAGACAGATTGCCATACAAGGCAAAAGAATTTAATGCAATGTGTGATATTTAACCTATAGCTAACGAGAGAAAAACAGAGCATTTAGGAAAAAAAAAACAGTAACGTGTAAAAAAATAATTTGTATCCATAAAAATAACGTATAAAAAAACAAAATATATATATATATATTAAATAGATATCTATAATCATTATCATCTATACCGTTCAGCGTGATCACTTTTTGGCAGTTTCTGACATTTGGGTGGGGAGTGGTCCAGCTTGGATACCTTCCGAAGTGAGCGATCATTTTTTATTTTTTTTCTGTCAGATGTTGATATTGTAGAAGTTGATGGGAAAAGCACGCGGGGTTAAAGTTTTCTGTGGGATGTCAGGAGACGTCCGGATGTTTGACTGCGCCATAACATTAGATGCCGGTTCATGGGTAACATGGGGCAGGAGACCGGTCTGAGGTTAACGGCTGGAAAAGAATATCTCGTGTGTGGGTAGGTTACTTTTTGCTTAAGATTGATTCTTCTAAGTTTTATTTCCGACGTCCTTCTCTCTCACATATCAGTCCATCTCAATATTGCCGATACCGAATACAACAAAATTCATTGTCTCATCATTTATCTATCGCATTTTTTCAATCTCCCAAACGTTCTCTGTCTGTCTGTCTGTCTCTGTCTCTCTGTCTCTGTCTCTGTCTCTCTCTGTCTGTCTGTCTCTCTCTCTGTATCTTGTCTGCATGAATGGATTTCTCTGTATCCTTGGAAACGTGAATTATGAATTTTTGAAGTGCCTTTAATACCCAGTAATTTTAAAAATAAGTTACTCCAAAATTCGGTTGAGGATGAAATGGAATTAATGTCTTTAATTTAATTACAAAATTAAACTCGAAGCTTTTAGTTTCTATTTTTGAAACATGGTTAGAACTGTGTAACGAAAAAACATATTTTAAATCAATTAATTTATAATATTAATGGTCTGTAAATTTACGTTGAGCACTATTTTGTTAAAATAAAAATATCTATAAGAACACCGGATTATATATCTTACTGTTCTTTCTTTTTATTTATATATACATATATATATATATATATACATATATATATATATATATATATATATATATATATGTGTGTGTGTGTGTGTGTGTGTGTGTGTGTATAAATTCCTTGTAATAGGACGGTGTGTGTGTGTTTGTGTGCGTATTATATATGTGTGTGTGTGTGTATGTGTATGTGTACAATTAGGTTTACTAATTCGTCATAGTGAGACAGTGAGTATGTATGGAAAGGGAATATGAACATATATACACGCATTCTGACAAAAACACATGTAAATGGAAATAGATCTAAGAACACACAGGGCTAATTAAAAGATAAGATAACCACTTCACCATTTCTCGAACCTATCTTAATTGTTTTATAAGCCTTCACGGAGAACCTTTCACTGCCAGTTCAAGAAAGACATTTGGATCACTAACACACAAAAAAGTGAATGTCTTATATCAAGAATATTTAACATCGAAAACCAAAGAAAAAAATTAATTACTTTTAATAATATGTGGAAATCTCCAACATTTGCCTGATGACAGTCAGGAGACCGGAAACATGTGTAGCAAAATTATGGAAAATAACGCATAATATTTTTAAAAAAAAATCCACATTAATGTAAATTATGTTACTGATATTGAGCGGTCCAATAAAATACCTCTTATATATATAATATATATAAATAATATAAAATTGCATACATATATATTTATATAAATACATTTTTTTTATATATATATATATATATATATATATATATATATATATATATATATGTATATATGTATGTATGTATGTATATATATATATATATGTATGTATATATACATATATATATATATCACTTTTGTTCATATCTATCTATATGTCTATCTCAGTCTTTTCATATCTATCTATCTATCTATTTATCACGGTCTTTTTATATGTATCTACATATCTATCTCAATTTTATGTATGTATATATGTATGTATCTATCTCAGTGTATTCATACCTATCTCCGTCTGATCATGTCTGTCGCAGTCTTTTCATATGTATCTATATATCTATTTCAGTTTGTTTATATGCATTTATGTATGTATGTATGTATGTATCTGTTTCTCTCTCTCTCTCTCTCTATATATATATATATATATATATATATATATATATATATATATATATATATATTTCAGCATGTTCATATATATCTATGTATCTATCTCAGTCTTTTCATAAGATATATATAAATATATATATATATATATATATATATATATATATATATATATATATATATATATATATATATATATATATATATATATATATATATATAAATATTGTTAAAATTCTCTATCTTGAATCTGTTCATGCCTAACTCAGTCTGTTCATTATATCGATCTAACAGGCCGATAGATCAAAATGAGTATAGAAATAAACAAAGAAATTATTTAAAAGCGAGAATACAAGAAAAAGAAAGAAAGAAACTAAAAAGTATAAGCGAAAGAGAGAAAGAAAAAAAAAACTTAAAAACTGAAATGAAAGAAATAAAGATGGGTAGAAACAAAAAAATAGTGAAATATAAAGGAAAGAAAGAGAAAAAGATATGAAAAGAAAAGAAAGTCATGAAATAAAGCGAACGAGAGAGAGAGAGAGAGAGAATAAAGAAGCCATCTTGGAAAAGTAAACAAACAAGAAAGTTTCAAAGGTGTCAGGAAGAAAATAAAACAAATACAAAACAAAACGAAAACACAGAAAAAAAAATCCCCGAAGAAAAGACAAATAAATCATCCAGAAAGAATTGGAGAAAACAATATAAAAACTAATAACACGAAAGTAATGATGGATAAACGAAACTTTTTTGCAAACTGACAATTTCATCAACAAAATTTCAAGCTACTTGAACGTTGAACACTTCGTCAAATGCAAAGTAAATGTAATCTTTCATTCGAATGCACGGGAAACACGTTGAAAATAAATGCTTTCTAATTTGATTAGCGGTAAACGCTAAGGTGAGTTTCTTTCTTCCCGACACTGAAGAGAACGGTGTCTATATTAAATTTACTCCCGCCGAAGAAAGTTCCACTCCGCAATGGAAGTTGGTAAAGCGTTCCCTCATGGCAAAAGTTTTAAGACAAAACAAAAATAAAATAAGATGAGAATTGAAATACGATTTAAGAAGCCTCACTTTGAAAAAAAAAATACTTCTAACCAGATAAAATAAATGTTTTGGGGTTCATTCAGGAGATAAAAAAATGCCAACAATGTATTCGACTGTTCTTGAGAACCGTTTGAGAACACATATACACATCAACTCTCCTCCTTCTTCATTCTTAAATTACAAAATCAGTGGCATATAATCCTTTCTTTGCGGACGCAGTAGAGTAGAGAGAGAGGGAAAATAATCGATTAATCAAATCCTTTTATTACGATGTTAAAAACTCCTAAGCCATTTAAAAACAAGATAAACAGGGGTCGTCAAAGAAAAACTCGTTATAAGCACTCTTTTTTTTGTGTGATTTCCTTTTCTGCTATCGGCAACTTCAAAGGAACGGTTTCAAGAGTCCATCCTCTTTCCACCAACCAAAAAGCCAACCAAATCTAACGAAGTTCTCTCTCGCATTGTGTATGTAAATTTTTGCTGTGTGTGTTTGTAACTCTCCTCTCTCTATCTTAACACGTACTTATATACTGACACTTATTTGAATTATTTGAACTCGTATATACAGTTTGTGGCAGAAATACCTTAACATATATACCTCCCATAAATACGTCTTACTGTATAACCATTAGGTGGAAGGTATATATAGGAGGTATTTCTGCCGCACCCTCTATGAAATGGATATTTATTTCACGCAAAATTTCTTTATCAACCAATTTTATATTGTACCAAGTAAATTTCCTTTTCTGTAGCTAAATTGTACAATTCACAATGTTTCGGACGTTGTACGCTGCGGCCTTCTTCAGATGATTGGAATGAATTTCGAACCGACCTTTTATATCGTCCACTGGGTTAGATTGTTCTAGTTCTATGTACCAGTAAAGAAAATGGTCTTGATACTCAAAGCAACACCTGTCTTATATTATTTAATGAAACATGCATCAATATATATATATATATATATATATATATATATAAAAAAATTATCTTAGCCAACGCGTTTCGTCCTCTGTGACAAATGTGACTTGATAAAAATAACCTCAGAGGACGTAACGTGTCGCCTAAGATAAGTTTTCCTTTTTTCTTTATTCATATTGTTCTGTCACAGATATACATTATCTGAAACTTTTGCACGCACACGTACACAACCCCCCACACACACACAAACACACACATACACATACACACACACACACACACACATATATATATATATATATTGTGCTAATGTCGAAAGTACTCGGAATAAATAATGTATTAACACGGCAATTTTCTTTCCCTTAATGACAGCAAAAAGATTGTCCGTGAATATGAAAGGATCCAATTGAAAATAAGTAGACAAAACTTGTCTGCATTATTCAATGAAACAAGTCTCAATATATATATATATATATATATATATATATATATATATATATATATATATGCGTGTGTGTGTGTGTGTGTGTGTGTGTGTGTGTGTGTGTGTGAAGTCGTTTACTTTGACGCACCTCCCGTCAATTTCCACTTGGATGCTACCATCCGAGCAACAACAAACGAAAAGCCATAACTCGAGTCTTCAGCGAACGCTGATAAATTATAAGAAGTTAACAAAGATGTTGAAGCAGGAGATGAACAGGTCTCGGAGAACGGTGGTTGGGGGTAGATGTGATTTTGTTGACCATGGGACTCTATACGTTTCGTCCCCAGCCCCTCGGGACATCTGCTGTTTTAATTCCAAACCCATGTAGGCGAAATAATCGTGTAAATCACAAGTTCGGTAGGGCGGGAAAAAATGACCACCAGGGAACGAGACAGCGAATCAGAAAACCGGACATTTTGAGTGTGACAAGGACAGTATAGCTTCACTGATGGTTGGGAGAAACCAACCAGAGCCAGCGAAGCAATAGGTACAATCGATGTCTGGCAAACTCTTTGAGAATAAACGCTTCTCTGAGACGAAATATATTTACTTCTATACATAGATTCAATTATCAAATGGACAAAGTCTGACAATAATTTTAAGACATTTTTT